TATACGGAACTTTATCACTAACCTTCTGAGTCGTCTTTTTTAGGGAAATTTAATTCCCTACCTATTTCCAATCAGCTCCAAAAAGAGGACAGGATTCCTTGTTATGCAGATTAGATAAAGTATTTAAGTCAAACGGAATAGTAAAGTAAAAAGCAGTAGGAGAGAGAGATTGAAGCAGGAAGGTATAATGGTGAAGTTAGAGATATATTATTGAAGATTTCAAGGTAGATAAATCTCGGGAAGAGCTGAGCTGCAGTGTGGTAAATATTGATTTATAATTAAAGTCTCATTAAAGTTTTATATTAGGAGTGAGATTAAAGTTAAATGTTCAATAGGAACATTATTGAATATAATTCTGGGATATCTTATCGCGGTAATCTCTGTGTGATTGATATTCTAATTGTTAGTTAATTGGATCATTAAATATTTAAGTTAATTTAAAGGAAAGCCTTTTAAACCTCATAACTATTTTGATATATTTGTTAATAAAAGTCTTTGATTCTATTTGGGAAAGATAACCAAATAAAGTTATTTATAAAAATGGCTACTGGCTCTTATCTGATTCCAAATCATTCTCGTTCTCAAAGTGAGATCCAAGGGGATCTTCACAACTGTAGATCAGGGGTTACGCATGTGGCACGCGGAGCAGTTCTCAGGGGCACTCACCACTGATTTTCATACTTGTCAATTTTTGAGTGAATGGAAGTTGATAAATTTGTAATAAACCTTGTTTGACAAACATCTTCAGAATTATGGACATTTGCGGAACTAAGAAAAAATCTTAAAGCTTAAAGATAAATTTGCAGCTAATGTGTAAGTTATTTGAAAGTCATTGTTCGAGAGAGATTTAATTTTTTGAAGAGAGGAAATTTCATGTACTCTACTTTCCGCTTTTGTGGTTCTACATATCTAAGTCAACAAGCTTCTTTTATTATCTAAAAATATTACGAGTCCACAAAGTTATTACCAACGGAATCTTCAAAATCGTGTCAAATTGAAAGTCCAAATTACACCCTTAATTTTGCAATATGAAGTAGAGTGGTGCAAGCATTAGGCTCGAATTAAAATTTTAATTTTTTTATTTAACCATAATGAAAGGGAATACTTATATTTCTCTCATGTTGCCTATTTCTTATTTTCATAATTTTTTAAAATTACTGCTATTCGCGCGCGTTGGTCATGATCCAATGACTGTTAGCAGAATATGAAATCGAAGGGTTCCGGACGGTAATACGAAACGCCGTGCTGGATCTGAATGGCTCCCTATCACTAGCAGCCGAGAAGACAGGTATGTTACCCACAAGGACTTAATGGATCGTGCAACCATGTCACGATTGATTGATTGATTTAATATTAACGTCGCACTGTTCAGCTACATGAGGGCTTTTGGCGACGGACCACGTAATTTTGAACCATGGTCAAGTGACGTGGACGACACCTGAGCTGGCACCCCCTCTCCTAATTACCACACCATACCAACGGGAGGACGTTTCAGCTCTCGACAGATTTAACGTGCATCGCTGCCCTACACGGCGGGTCTTTTAGTGGTACTGGGATCGAACTCGTGACCAACCATGTCACGAGCCTTGAGTCCAGAATTGGGGTCGTTTGCAAGACAACAAGTACCAGCACGAACAGTTCGATGACGTTTGTAGCAGCAGCATGGACTCTCAGCTCGAAGACCATGGCAGCGGCTACACTTGACGCTGCATCACAGACAGGAGTATCTTCAATAGTGGCATCAACGACGAACCTGGGCACACGAATGGAGAGATGTCATATTTTTTCAGGTGAATCTAGGTTCTGTTTACAGTATCAAGATTGTCAGATCCGTGATTGGCGTTATCGTGATGAACGCACATTGGCAGCGTGCATTCGTCATCGTCACACTGGCCCATCACCTGGCGTGAGGGTATGGGATGCTATTGAATACACGTCTCGGTCACATCTTGCTAGAATTGACGGCACTTTGAACAGTGCACGTTACATTTCTGGTGTGATACGACTCGTGGCTCTACCCTTTATTCGAGCCCTGTGTGAAACCCTTCTTTTCAGCAGGATAAAGCGTGACCACATGTTTCCGGTATTTTTGGATCTTCCTTGATACAGAAAATGTTTGGCTGTTGCTCTGACCCACGTTCACCACATCTCTCGCCAATAGAAATCGTCTGGTGCATGGTTGCCGAGCGACTAACTTGTCACCGTACGCCAGCCTCTACGATTGATGATCTGTGGCACTGTGTTGAAGCTGCATGGGCATCTATACCTATAGATGCCCTCAAATCTCTGTTTGACTCAATGCCCAGGTGTATAAGTGCTGTTGTTACTTCCAGAGGAGGCTGTTCAGGATACTGATTTCTCAAGATCTTACCCAAATTTTTTGAAAAATTAATCTCTCTCACTTGTTATTTCCAGTATAATATACTTGTCCAATAAATAACGAGTGTTTCAAAAGTCACGCACATCCCCATGGTAATTCCTGTTGCTTAAAAACCAAAAGGGCCGGTTAAGATTTTTGTCACTAGATGGCAGCAAGATCCCCATCATAAGAAGTTTTTAACGTGGCAGGCATCAGTTTCAAAATACTTTTGTTATAGTAGTTGAGCACAGCGCCAGGTGCATGAATTTTTTCCAAGAGCAAAGAATAGCCATCGTGGAATTTTATTTCAATACAAAATCTCATTTCATGTGATAAATGCATGTCTTCAGAAATATCCAGGTGAAACAGCACCAAATGCATCAATGATAACACGTTTCGTGCAATGGTTCCAAAACACGGGATCGGTTGCAGACAGGAAGCAATCGGGTAAAGCGTCCATAATGAAAACGAAAGTGGCAGATGTGGAGACCGCTTTACAAAGAAGTCCAATGAAAAGACCATCCGTCTACATAAACATCATTACGGAATTCATATCCTTGCTGAACAGTGATGAACGGTATCTTGGCTGTAGGCAAGACGGTGCAACGTGTCAAACATCAAAGGACAGTATGGAAGTTTTAACTGAATTTTTCGATGATCGTGTCATTTCCAAAGAATTTTGGCCACCATGTCCCAAGACCTTATCAATTCCAGATTTTTCCTTTGGGGATATCTGAAAATGTTCACCTTCAGGAATAATCCCCCAACGCTTGGTGAATTTAAGAGTAACGTCCTTCATGCAATATCGGACGTTAAATCTCACTCTTCATAAAGTGTTAATTAATCTGGTAAAAACAGTTCGACTGTGTGTCCAGGAAAACGGACATCATTTTGAACATTTATTGTCATTTCCCCATGTCTGACACCTGACAATAAAGATAACCGTTCAACCTTTGTTTGTCCTTTATTCTGCTTATTAACATAATTCATCTGTCTTTTAAACTCAACCACAAAGGTTGATGCGCTTGACTTTTGAAAACAGACGGTATCTGCATTTCTTCCTGGTGTAGCAGTTTTGACGTCCAGTAGGGTATATATATTCATCTCTTTTATAATAATCCTTATACATTATTTTATATACTCATCTTTTTGGCTTTTTCTTTTGACATATTTAAGGAGGGGCAGGGAAAGGTGTTTATCTTACATAAATTCTCTTCCAGATATTTTAAAAGAAAGGAAATAACTGATTAGCTCAACACATCATTTATACATTACATTTGTGAAGGAATAATTTTCAATTCACTTTCGCATTCCTAAAAAGAGAAAATTCGAAAATTGCTTTCAAAAGGAAGAAAACTGTTTCTTATATTTATTTGACTGAGCACGCAATGGCGGGAAAAGTTAGGTGTTCATTTATTTTCCATTATTTTCTCATAAGTGAGTTTAAAGAAAGAATTCCTCATTCAATAATAATAACCGTGAAAACAGATGCAACCACTGTAATAATATTTGTTCCAACTTTCCCGCCAAAAATAAAAAATTTTCTAAAGGTAAACCAAATTGCGTTCACCGGTGAAGAAATTCTTTTTTAGATTTTTTATTTTCATCATTTTTTGTTTGTGTTGCCTCTCTATGTGAGCTGAGAAATGAGCAAATCGAAAAATTTCGTTCAACTGCTGTTATATAATGTTACATTTTCCTCTTCCACCATTTTTTTTACATGTAACTCTTTTTCATTCAGCAGTTGTGATAAGAAAAGTGTTTTCTTCGACAAATATCGAATTCGCAATTTCTTTTCCAAAAGATTCGAATTACCTGGAAAGCGGAAAAAAAGTTACATTATTTTTCTTTCATTTTAGCGGTTTTCGAAGCCCCAAGCTTTTAGCAATTTTTATTTATCTATTTATTTATTTTTTGCTAGACACCTTGAGCAAACGATTAAAAAATATTTGTTCGCTCTAAAAAAATGCCACGAAAAATATTCTTTTCCCGAATGATTTTATATTGAGTAACTTTATTTGTGTGTTTTCATTGGTTCGTTCCGGCATTTGATACACTTGCATTTCCATGAACTTTCATCTCTAAAAGTTTGAGCATGTGTCGTTTAAATTACCGTTGTTAGCACTTTACCATGTATTATGTATAAGGCACAGTGAATATCAAAAGAATTGGAAAAAAAACTAAATTATATATTTTATGAAATCAATTTCAAAATTACTTAAATCTGAGTAATGTTACAGTTTTTTTTTCTAAAGCTTATTGAGAACTGCTTTTACGGAAAAAGGCACAGCCTTTATAGAATAAGTTTAGTAATTTTTTTAGAAAAATTTCAGCTATATATAAACAAGTAATATAACAAAAAAATGAAGTCAATTTCTACTTAGGTCAACAACAAAAGAAAAAATTATTTTAGTTACTTTTTATTAAATAATTACAATTAATGTAAATATGTATATACATGTGACAGAATCACAATATTAAGGGGCCAAATAAAAAGGCATTTTCCTTGCACTTTTCCATTTTCCTATCTGTATATGGTGTTGGACTATTATTGTTGTTTGTTACTATTTATTCATTAATTAAATTTAATTATTCCAATAAAATAGTTTTTAAAAAGAAATAACATTTTCAGGAAATAGGCCATCCCAGGTGGAATTCGAACCCACGACCTTTGGATAAGAAGTCCAACGTGCTATACATTGCGCTACAGGGACACAATGAACGATTTTCTTTTCTTATATGCTGTTGAACTATTATTTTTGTTTACTATTTATTTATTAACTTAAGTTTAACTAATGAATTAATGTTTGAAAAAACTGTTAACATCAAGTGTCATCTCCAACAAGTTTAAAAAAAATGTATTTGAACTTGAATGGATGAATGGAAAGTATTTTATTAACGATTGAAAATTTGAACAATATATATAGCAGTGGTTCTCAAACTTTCAATACTTGCGACTCAATATTCAATTTAAGTTTTCATCGCACCCCCTTCCATATAAAAATATAATACCACCGGCGTATATAAACGTCTCGATCAGCCAGTGCGTAAATTGCCCACGACGTATATATACGTCTTTCAAAAATACGATCTTTTCTGTTAACTGCTATCCGTTAAATTACTCCGAAGGCTTTGGAATGCAATGAAATGACCTTGGCAGCGTTTTGGAAGGATTTCCTTATTTATTCCCTTCCCTCCTCACTACCCCACATACGCGTGCATACGTGCGTGCAAAACGGCGGCATTGGGATGGAATCGCTAAACTTTTAATCGGCAGTCAAGGGATTAATTATAAACCATACAAATGATCAAGATAAGTGTTAGTTATTGCATATAATTTTATATACGAGGCATATCCAGAAACTAAGTTCAGTTTCTATTTATATCCGCTCCAGCGCAGCGATCGCAGTTCTGCGCATGCCCGGCAGATACTCAGTATCAAGGAGAAGAAGCACACATACACATGCGTCATTTTTAGATCACTGTCAGCCACGTACGCTTTGTTGTGCTTGTTTACAAAGTCGGTGTTGATTGAAAATCCCGCTGCGTGCGAAATCAGATGTGTAATTCGTTTTCTGAATGCTAAGAAAGTGAAACCAATCGAAATTTATCGGTAAATTTGTGAAGTTTACGGACAAAATGCGATGAGTGATTCAATGGTGAGAAGATGGGTCCGACAGTTCAATGAAGGACGTAGTGAAGTGCACGATGAAGAACGAAGTGGGCATCCATCTTTGATTACAGAAGAACTGGTTCACGCGATTGATGAGAAGATCAAGGAAAACCGTACGTTTACAATTAGTGCTCTCGCTATGGAATTTCCACAAATCTCAAGATCACTAATGCATGAAATTGTTACTGACAAACTGAAATTTCATAACCTTTGCGCACGTTGGGTACCAAAAAATGCTTACTGAGTCTCACAAAACAAAACGGATGGGTTGTGCACTTGAGTTTTTGACCCGTTATCATGAAGGCGGCGTAGATTTTCTGTCACAGATTGTCACAGGAGATGAAACTTGTGTTTCTTATGACACCCCTGAAAGTAAGCGGCAATCAATGGAATGGAGGCACACTTCATCCCCAACAAGGGTTAAGCCGAAACACATCTTGACACCTCGAAAAATCATGTGCACAGTGTTTTGGGACAGCAAAGGCATCTTACTGATTGATTTTTTACCGCGAGGTCAAACAATCAATGCAGCTGGTTACTGCGAGACACTTATGAAATTGCGCCGCGCAATACAGAATAAGCGCCGAGGATTTCTGTCAAAAGGTGTTGTTTTTCTTCACGACAATGCACGACCACACACTGCAAATGGGACGAAAACCCTCCTACGAGGATTTGACTGGGACGTGTTTGATCACCCTCCGTACAGCCCTGACCTCGCTCCTAGCGATTTTCATCTCTTCTTACATCTCAAGTCTTTCCTTGCCGGTAAACACTTCAACAATGACAAAGAGCTGAAAGAAAATGTTTCCAACTGGTTGAAGGCACAGGCGGCAACCTTCTATGAAGAAGGCATAGAAAAACTTGTGCCACGATATGACACATGCCTGCAAAATTTCGGCAGTTATGTGGAAAGGTAGTTTAAGAGTTTTACATTTTTGTCCAATAAATGTTTTTTTCTGTATCTGTATACAATTTATTTTTATTACCAAACGGAACTTATTTTCTGGATATACCTCGTATGACAAGCCCGTTGGGTCACTGGTGATTATTAAACTTGTTCATAACTTTGTACTTTTAATTACCGTAAAATCCGGCGTACAACGCGCACTTTAAACACACACACACAAAGAAAAATCGAAACTTATAAGGGTGTGCGTTATACGCCGGGTATAAAAACATTAGCTTTGAAAATAACAAAAGAGGTGAGCATAAAAAAATTACTTCTACACAAATCGAAATATTGTTTATTTAAATGAAATGATACGCCGTACGCACTGAAAGAGATGTAGTTCTAGAAGTATACTATTTTTTCAAAAATCTGGGATAATACCTCGAATAAATGACTTCAAAACATAAGAGCATTGCTCAGGTACATTTTAGACTCCGTAAAAAGCGGAAAGCGCGTTATGCGGTGAATATACCTTAAAATTAAAAAAAAATGCTGCTTGAAAGTATAGGAGCACATTATGCGCCAGATTTTACGGTTATTATAAAATACATTGTGCAGTACTGATATATTTATAGGTGTATTATATCAGTGTAAATGTTTTTTATGTCAGAATGTATTCTTTTTTGTTTGCTTGCAATAAATTAATATTTTTTAATAATATTTGTTTTCGACTTTTCAATATATTCGCCCCCCTTCTTGGATATATCACGCCCCCGTAGGGGGTACGCTCCACAGTTTGAGAAGCACAGATATATAGGGAGAGTGTGAACTAATAGTAATAATTGTGAAAAAGATTTAAAATTTAGCCTGAACAAAGGTATTTTTTAAATTGTTCGTTTTGGAACATGGCAATCATTTATGCCTTGAGAGGTTTCTAAGAATTCGGAAAGTTTTTCCGTACATTTCTGATTTCATAAAACTCAAAAGCTTCCGAAATGGCTAGTAAATATACGCTGAAAGAAGTTTTAGAACTTCCAATTTTTCATTTTTAATGCCAGAAATATGTTACTGAAAACTGAAGGTTGCGTTTCGAGTTTAGATACGTGACAACAGTATCTGATGGGTCATGGTACAAACTCTTGCATGGTGTGGTAGCCTTCGAAAAGTGGTGTAAATTGCCGGTGCAACTAAAGAGCCTCCTATGTAGAGGTGTTAATGACGGCTGCCAGAAAGCGCTACTAATAGTCTTGTAGTACAGGGTATGTATAAATTAGGCATTTTTTTTAAGTTAGGAACTTACGAAATATTAAATAAAATTGACCCGTTTTAAGTCAGATTGGTAGGCATATATCTTAAGTTTATTCATAGAGGGCATTAGGTGTCATAATGTTAAAATTTGGGGGTCGGAAAATCCTTATGACATCCTACAACATAAAAGGAATAGTTCCAAAGTAAACGCGTTTTGCAGTGAATTCCTCGAATCACTTCAGTGGAAATTAACCTGAGAACTGTCCTGGTCATATTGGGTAGCATTTCGGCATTGACATCTAATGGCCTTCCAGATCTGGGTTCATCTATCGAAAAAAAAATCCCCCGAACGAAATTTCGTAAACCTTTTTTGGCATGTTCAAGCTGTTATTGCGGCCTCCAAACATTTCATACAAATTTTCTGTGCCTCCATTTCATTATTCCCTTTTTGGAACTCATACAACATACAATGTATTAAATGTACTTTTTCTTCAATCATGTTGACAGTTTTACAAGTTTAAAAAACACTGACTGAAATACAAAAAAAAATGTGTATAAATCATCAATCATATATATTATTCTAACTGTTTAAACCATGGGGTTTCAGTCGGATCTTAATTCTTGCTAATTCTTGCTCAAGTGCACGTATTCAAAAACGACAGAATTTTCCCTTATATTAACATTGTTATTAACATAATACATATATTTTTAATATTCTATATTTTTTTAGCTCAGAATGAATGATAATTACTTAAACAATTAATTCAGTAAGAAAATTCAATTATCTAGATCGAATGCACTTTTTTTTAGCAAGAAAAATCAAATTTTTCTCCTTTGAAGCTTAATCATAAATTGGAAATACTCAACAGAAAAGTAACGGGGAAAACGCCGTGTTGCACAATTTACCCGCTAATGATTTTTAACTATTTTTAAGAAGTTCCAGTAATGGAATTACAACCAGTAAATAAATCGATATAATGATGCATGTTTATTACCCTTCTAATCTCGTAATGGTTACAGTTACAAATATAATAGTACAAATAATTAAAATTGTCTTTGGTAACACTGATATATTTTAGCAAAAAAAAAAAAAGTCAAATCACGCGCGCTCTAGAAAATTAAATTAATTTTATTAACTTCCAGATCAGATAGTTTCTGATAGTCCTTTTTAATCATTCCTAATTGCATTAAATAAAATCATATTAGTGTTTGGAAGGCAATTAATGTCAACAATTTTTTCCCCGCGCTGTACTTTTTTCCCGCGAATCCCAATCATAAGTAATTTCCGTTGAACAAACTACATGGCTCAGCAAACATAATTGAATTATCTTCAAAAAGAGGACTCGTTAACTTTGGGAGAACAACATAAAAGAAAGACTCATCAACCAATTTCCGATATTTTCGGTAAATCACTGCTTCAAAAAAACTATTTAATCGACGATTTTCTTCCGATATATCAGCGTCAAACGATTAAAGATAGAAACAGGAAAACATAAATCAGCAAATGAAAATGAATGATTCGCTAAACGACGTTAAATATCTGTTTTCGATTCGGAACAGGAAATCGTCTGCGTTCTATAGACAGCAATTCCGTTCCATTAGGGTTAGTAATAGTATTGAATTAGAGTAAATGCGCTAGAATATAATCAAAGAGATTCTGTTAAATGTATCCGGTGGGCAGTCAGAAATTTTTAAAAAGTGTTAATGAATGTCGTTTTTGGCTTATAAAAAAACTGCATATTGTACATTAATAAAATTTACCCTCACTTAAAAGTGATTTAAACGGAAAAAATATAATGTTTTTAATGGACTTCGATTTTTTTTTAATTTATGTGCGTTTTAATTAATTCTTTGTTACTTTTTGTAACATTAAATAGATTGTAAATTTTCGATTAAAAAAGCCT